TGTTATAGAAAACCTTTATTAAAAAAAAAAAAAATGATTGAGTACCTGCTATGATCTGACTGTAGTAGAGATACTCTCTCTCGACAGAGCTTATGTATACTTCAGTTCACCTGTATCAAAAGACCTTGTTACCCGCATCAAGAATGATGTCAGTGTCCGGTCGCGTATTGGTGCTTTAAGAGAGGTCGAATTCTCATCGCTTGTAATTAATCTATGTATATATGGAAAATGAAGAATTTTTCTGAAGCATTTGGGAATTTGCAGATGAACCTGGAGTACTTTGCTATAGACAATCAGGTAATTCGTAATTCAATTTGGTTTTCACATGTAAGCCGTTCTGTTTCCATATTGGAAGTATAAAAACGTGAATCACTGAGGTCTGATTAAGTTTATTGGGAATGGTGTTCAGTTCATCTTTTTTATTATTGTCCACGTTTATTTTGGAAATAATAAGCTCTAAAATGGTGATATGGATGCTTAGATTGCTAGATACTATATCATCATGTCATATTTATTTTCAGGGATTCATTACTGACCACGAAAGAGCACTTGAAGAACTCTTTGCTGATGATGCTGGGAATTCTTGTAGATTCAATGCATGCTTGAACGTAATGGCCACAAGAATTGCTACTGTTTTTGCTTCACTAAAGGAATTTCCCACTGTGTGGTACAGAGCAGCGAGGGGACTTGATAGTGACACCATTACCACATCCCGTGATTTAGTCCCTACGAAGCTTGCTGCAATGCTTTGGAACACCATTACAACATTCAAATCTTCCATTCCTAACTTCCCCCAAACCGAAACATGTGAATTACTTATAGTGGACCGATCTCTTGATCAGGTGTCTTATATAAATTGATCTGTCAATACCTTTTCACTAGATTAATAGGTTTATATTTCTCAGTTTCTGATAAATTTGCTGCTATAGGTTGCTCCCATCATTCATGAGTGGACCTACGATGCAATGTGTCATGATCTGCTTAATCTCGAGGGGAATAAGTATGTGTACGAGGTAAGTGTTAGTTTCCGTACACTTGATTTCAGTTCTTTTGCAGATTCTTGGGAAGGATAATAAATGGATATTAGGTTCCCAGCAAATCAGGTGGTAAGCCTGAAAGAAAAGAGGTCCTATTAGAGGATCACGATCCTGTGTGGCTCGAGCTCCGGCACACTCACATAGGAGAGGTATTTACTCAGGCTGTGCACATTTTGTCCTAGACCCGGTGGATATTTTTACAAGCCAATTTGAGTTCCTAAAATATTTCAGGCCAGTATACGTTTGCATGAGAAGATGACAAAATTTCTTTCCAAAAACAAAGTAGCACAACTCCAACAGAGGTTAGTGGTCTAAATGCATGCACGGTTCTTGTTGTGAAGTGTAACTACGCATCTTGTTACATGGTCTGAATGGTAAACTACAATGTGCTCTCCTATAGGAAGAATTGTTATTTTAGTAATTAGACCAAATCAAATCCATAGTGGATATTGGATTTCCGTCGAATAGAGAAGTTTTACTTCCGACTGTGATTAATATAATTGGTTTTCCTGTGAAACTAAATCTCTCTTTGCCCGGTAATATATGTGGTGTGAAGTCGTTTTATATATGTGTATTGTTAAGTGATTTTAATAAAGGTGGAGTTTGATAATGTACTACAGTATCTTATGATGGGAGAACACATATCCATTACACATCACTTGTCAATTATGGGAATGTATGGCTTGTCAAGCTTTACTACTTGCTAGTTAACAGAAGAAATGTTTCGTGCAACTCGTTCATATGCTCTTCATTTGCCGTTTTTTCTGACCCGATGCAATTTGCAATGTGTATATATGTAGAGAAGGGAGTGAGTTCTCCACGAGTGACCTTCAGAAAATGGTTCAAGCTTTGCCACAATATAGTGAACAGATGGAGAGACTTTCTCTTCATGTTGAGGTTGTTTCCTTTGTATTATCTCCATGTTCAGGTTATTATTATTATTATTATTATTATTATTATTATTATTATTATTATTATTATTATTATTATTATTATTATTATTATTATTATTATTATTATTATTATTATTATTATTATGTGAAACATGTTGAGCTTGTAGAGCTTTTCCTATAATCTTGGACAGAGTTATAATTTTAATCAAATGGGCTGTTGAGGAAAACCAATCATGTCGAATTTTGATATATCTGAAGACGGATTTTTCAGTTATTGACTTGCAAAATGCTGTTTTTTCTCCATCATTCATCAGATTGCTGGGAAACTTAATAAAATTATCAAAGATTTCGGTCTTCAAGAACTTGGACAGCTTGAGCAAGACCTTGTATTTGGCGATGCTGGAATAAAGGAGATCATCAATTTCCTGAGAACGAAGCAGGTACTTTTATGACTATCATTCAAGTAAATCATTTGGAGTTCCAGTCTTGCTCCCCAACATCTTGTCAAACCACTACAAGAAAATGATGAAATTCCAACGGAAATATATTTCAATAAAATTCCAATGGCAATTCCAATAGATATTTTAATGCTATTATTTCCGTTAGAATTTTCCAACGTAAATTCCAACAAGAATATTCCGATAGAAGAGTTTTTCAATGGAATTTTCGTTGGATTTTGACGATTCCAATGGTAGATTTTGCAACGGGGGTGGAAATAAAAATTCCAACGGAAATTCCTACAGTAAAAAGTTGTTGGAAATGTAGCCGTTTGGAATTATCAAATTCTATCTAAAATTCCAATGAAAAACACATTCCAACTGAAGCTATATACAATTGGAATATCCGTTGGAATTTCCATTGGAATATATTACCATAGGATTTTTCTTTGGAATATAACAATTTTTTTGTAGTGAACTGTTTCTTACTCCTACAGGATCTATCAAACGAGAATAAGTTGCGACTTATGATGATTTTTGCTACTGTATATCCGGAAAAGTTTGAGGGTGACAACTCTTTAAAGATCATGCAGGTTCACCTATCCTTTTCTATACCTTTATCATTAAAATTTTAAGGATCCCTATTGTTTCTTTGTCAATGTTGTGTACTCAAATGCTTGCCTTGTGCATAATTGCATTAATTTGAAAAACAATTTTGTGTCACTGCTCATACTTAGTTCCTATTTAAATTTTATACCAAATTTATGTTAGATGCTTCGTAGTGATAAAACTAACTCTAAGCCCTGTCCTCGGCTAATTTCGAAAATCCGTTTCATGTACTTTCTCAGTTGGCAAAGTTACCTGAGTCAGACATGAAAGCAGTGAAAAATATGAAGTTGATCGAGGGACCTGACATGAGAAAAGCTTCGAAAGGGACTTTTTCATTGAAGTTTGCTTCAGGAAAGGTAAAATGTTCATTTTATTTAGTGTTATGCACAGAATTAAGGCAATGTGATATAACCGACACCTGGTAGTCTCTGCTTATCGACTTTACTTAGACAAAGAATGCAACAAGAAAGGACCGAGCTGGAGAGGATGAGACGTGGGCCCTATCTCGGTTTTATCCCATGATAGAGGTTTGGTTGATAATCTCATGTGCATGCTTCTCGAGTTTATAGTGTGTTTTGTTGCAAGAAAACGTCCTGTCCATAGTATCGTGTTTGTTTTGGTAATGAGTACCATAACTTGGTTTTCTTACTCAGGAATTGATTGAAAACTTGAGCAAAAGAGAATTGTCCAAAGATGAGTATCATTGCATGAACGATTTGAGTTCTTCAAATAATGGCACCAAGGGGACTAATAGAGTTGCATCAGTTAGAGACGGTCCATATTCAGTGAGATCAAGACGAACTGCAGCATGGACCTTACCTTGCTCGTCTGATGAAGACAATAGGTAGTCATTAGTAATTCTTTTAGTTATAACTATTGAAATGTTTTTAATGATCTTACAGATTACGATATTTGTATCGATAGTATATGAAAATACTGTCGGGTTGTGTTACAAAACCAACTCCTGATATCTGGTTTCTCTCAGGATTACACATTGTATCCCACAAATTGCACCTAAACAAGTGGATATGTGTTGTAAGAAAAAGATAGAATTTAAAAAATGGTTTTTTGTTGTGGTAATTAGGTCAAATGTGAGGTTAGCTTTTGTTATTTTGCTTAATTTAATTTCAATTATTCTAACGTAATTTTATGTGTACACTCTCTTCTTGCCCTGCTGTGTTTCCAGCGATTCATCACTCCTGAGAACTGCATCCAGTGCCGATTTTAAGAATATGGGACGACGCATTTTTGTTTTCATAATTGGTGGGGCCACCAGATCTGAGGTAAAAAAAGAAAAAAAAAATAACATAACTGTTTCCCTTTCAGCAGTTAATAGTTTTGCCAAGAGCTTGAACTCGTAAAAAAATTAAGCAAATTTGTTTTGTTGTCCTTAGCTTAGGGCTTGCCATAAACTTACAGCAAAGCTAAGGAGGGAAGTAATCCTTGGCACAACTAGCATCGATGATCCACCTCAATACATTACGGTAAACACTAATTACTGCATTTTACATAACCCATGCGTGAATACATATAACACTATATGTGCATTAGAACGTAGGATTATTGTCGTGAGATTGAATAAATGATGATCTCTGCATATTGAGGAACGAATATCAACTATTTCTCAAATTTCTTGAAGAGATGAATTGTAATATTGGTTAAGTGGCATACATTTACATTCAGCAGTTATATTCATATGAATGATGATCGGTTTTGTAACTCTTCCATTCTGCAGAAACTTAAGCTCCTATCAGACAAGGAGCTTTCTATCGATGATTACAGGTTTGGGAGCCTGAGGTTCACCCCATCAAATGAATATAATCATTAGGCAAAGCTGCTGGGATATCTCCGGTTTGGTTAATTTCATGCTGTTGATATATCGATTGAACTGCCATATCTAAAATACTATTATGTTATGTTTTACCTTCCTCTATTTATGCAAGTTTTGAGGAGGAATATATAGCCTGTTTAGTTTAGGGGGAGCCTGGATATCCTGCTGCTTTATGTAATTTCCTTTTTTTGAGTTAGAATTGTTAACGGCTTGACTTAAGTTTGATCGGCTTAACTTACTGTTGGATTGTGAGTGTGTTGTTCAAACGGTAAAAAAATCCGTGAAGGGATTGAGTAGGCATGAATTCTCCGGTGCAAGGACTCTACTTTCTGTGTTCATGGGGAAAAGGCCATGTTGATACGTCTTGATATGAGTTTTGTTATAGAACCAACTGTTGGGTCCATAATGAAGTCAACCTTCTATAGATAGTAAGCAGAGAATACCACATTTTATAATCAAATAAAAATATACAATCAACAATGAATTGATAAGAAACATAACAATATTGAGAAAGTAAAAGTAATTAAATTTTTGTTAATTTGTATGAAAAAATAAATACTGCAAAATATTGGTAATATTATTTAAATCATTTAAAAATTCTTTGAATGATTTTAGTTAAACATAGAATTAACAATAATATGTACAACTAAATAGTTTATATAATCTGAAAAAATAATACAAACTTTTTAGAGTATTTTTTTTTTAATTAAAATTTAAAAATATAAGCATTTTATTTTTATTGTGGTTGAGTAGTTATTAATTCCGTTTTCTAAATAAATAGTTGCTAACTAGAAATATATTTTTCTCATTAAGTAGTTGTTAACTGTGTGTTCTATTAGTTAGAAAATAGTATATTATTTTTTACTTATTATATATATAGGAGATTTGCTCCACTATAGAATCTAACTGGTGTTTCCAACTGGTGTTTCCACAACAAAACTCGTCTTGATATATTTTTCCCTACCACGATTCATATATAACTAACAAAATAATGTCTTGTTTAAACTTAAAAGTGAGTTAAAGGTGGTATTTCTTGGCAATGATATATATATTTTTTTAAGTATGACACACAAAAAATAAAAAATAAAAAATAACAATAATAATAATAAAATAAAATAAATAGCTGCAAAGCATGGCATTTTATCACAAAATAAGTATAGTAATTAAAAAAGTATGATTAACTCATACCAAGTTTGTGTACTTGTATTTTATTCCAATTGTCATGTATATATTTAATAATTTCAATTTTATTTTATCTAATTAAATTAGGTCTTAAATCAACCAAGATTGCAAAAATTGTAGCATTGTGATCAGTATAAAAATTTAATATGCAAGTTAAATAGTTTATATTAATATTGTTCAGTTTTACCCATGTTTTAAATACCGTACCGTTGACCATACCGAACGAGCCACCGATACGCGATTCAACCGGTTTTACACTCTATTTTATCAATTTTAATAAATATTAAATTAATCTATTATTATAATATAAATAATATATAAAGCAAACTATAATAAATACTAAAATTATCTAAAGTCAAATAACAATGTAAATATATTAAATTTAAGTGTAGAATTTTCTATGTATATAAATAAATTAATAAAAATATGTTAAAAATATTTTTTTTTAAAAAAATCAGGTATGCCCGATATTTTAGCCGGTATTTTGGCCGATATTATCCGATAAAATCAGTATAAACCGGTATTTTGGAGGTATTCATACCGGTTAAACCACTGGTATCCAGTATTATCGGTAACACCGGCCGGTACATACCGGTATTTAAAACACTGAGTCTTATTAATGATAAAATCTACAAAATATAATTTGCTCATTATCTAACTTATTGTAACGCCCCAAATTTTATTAATAAAGGAAAATACTAGCTTGTAAAAATAAGCTAGCCTTTGTTAATAAATATTCATGTTAATGTTCAAGTCTAAATTATTCAGCTAGTTAAGTTTTACGTTCGACTTTTGGTCGACTTAATATTCGGTTTAATTGTTTCAGTAACCGAATGAGTTTTTTATATAATAAACAAGTTTGGGATTAACGAGATTAAGTTAAGATAATATTCTAATTAAGTTCCGAGGTCAAGTTGTAACCGAAAATGAGTACATTCGATTAAGTTTACCATATATGAACGTCGTCGTTCCTATACAGCGACGCGTTCACACTTGGTACACCGTCCATCATTAGCTCATGCTTAAACAATTGTTATTAACCCTTACTTAGTTAATTTAATCCACGTTTAGCTAATTAATCATGATTAACCTTTAATTAATCATGATTAGCTTAAGGTTAATCATGATTAGTTAAATATTAATGATAATTAGTTGAATATTAATCATGCTTAAGGATAATCATGTTTAATTAGTATTAATTGTGCTTAAGCTTAAGTCATAGCACACACGTATACACATTGGGTGCAATTACGCATAGCGCACGCGCACGGTTAAGCCCATTAAGTGCATGCTTATGCTACCCTAAGCATCGTGATCAAGCCAAGCAAATCCAAATCCTCTTCTTTAGAATTGGCGTGAGGAATTTTCAAAGTGATGAGTTTGGATGCAAGTGGTGGCCATGAGTCACCTACTAGCTTGCACACATGGCACCACACGAGCACACGGGCGATGACTAAGCCCGTGCATACACGCCACATCGACCGGTGACTAAGTCAAATGCCCAGCACCTCAGCCACGACCTGGACATGTGGCAGCAAGGGAAGCAACGTCATCTTTCACCTCTTTGATCCAAGTTTACCCAACGAGCTTGTCTTCCCTTTAAATAACCGAACGTGTGAAGTTTCCTCATGCATCTTCATGCATTTTCACGCAAGAAATGAGCCAACTTCAGCATATATATTGAGGGAAAAACAATGAGGAAAAATACAGGAAAAATTATAGAAAATTAGCTGAACATTACTGAAGCAAAGGAGGAACAAGTACATAAGCACTTAATGTCGAACACGTACCGAGCAAGCACACGCAAACCACCGAGCACTCCTCGAGTAAACTGAAGGGTATACACCTATTTACCCTCTTTTATGCAAATAACCTCATGTTAGCAAGGTCATGTTGATATCATGTTGTTCGGTTTAAGTTTTGATACAAAATGGCCTCGGAGGTGCTATATAAGCCCTCTACGAGTGATTTCAAAATCTAACCGGCAAGTCCCGAGCAATTTATGCATAATTAGTTATTTCAAGTCATTTTATATCCAGTCATGTATGGGTTGACGGAGAAAGTTGCCGGACGGCAGGCAAAAGGCCGACCGTAGTGCCTGTCCGCACGTGGTGCGCGCCGGGTACAGCCGGCTGTCACTGCGGGCACGCAGACAGCGTGTGCACGCTCAGCAGTGCGTGTGCGTAGCCAGTGCCCAGCAGTCAGTAACGTGCTACTGCAGGCCAGTGCGTAGGCGCATAGCGTACGCCAGCGCGCACGCGGCAGCACGCAGTCAGCATGTGCGTACGCTTGCAGCGCGTAGACGCCTGGCAGCGCCCCTCGCAACGCACGTACGCGTAGCCAGCGACTGATGAAAAGTGATCGTGTCTTTATTTATACGGGTTGTGAATAATCGCGCACTCAGGGCCTTCGATTATCCACGATAGGTGTATCTAACAGACGCACTATCGGCCTTCTCCTAGACACTGTGACTTTGAGATGCTCTCGGGGCCTTCTCTCAGACACTGTATGTAAACACGCACTGACGGTCTTGTTTATCACACGTTAGAACATAAAGTTCCCCTCAAAATTGGCTCACCAATTCAATACTCAATTCAAGACCTAAAATATGATGAGGTACATGGGGTATTTATAGGTGAAAAATAAATCTAAGCCTAATAGATCTAGATCTCCTATTCTATGCAATAATATAAATCCTAATGCTAGTAAATCTCCTAACATCTTCTACTACTAACAAATAAAAGCAATATGGAAATAAAATCCTAACATAACTAAAATACTAATTGTCTTGACTTGCACTCCAAATAACTTGAAGCACAAATCATGCGCGCGCCCTAAGACCACCGCCTCGCGTGCGCTGCCCTTCGGCCGCTACTCCTTGTTGCGCGCGGTAACCCGCGCGCTTGACTCCCATGCAGCGTCCATCGTCCCCGACATCCATGCGCGCGCCGTGTCGCGCGCATCGCTTCCAGTCCCTCCTATTCTTTCCGCGCATAGGCCTGCGCTTGCGCCTGTCACCCACTCCCGCGCCATCGCCGTGCGTCTCTCGCACGTTGCCGCCTACGCTCGGTTCCCCGGCGCCTTTCTCGCGTTCGCCCTGTGACCATGTGCCTCCGCTGTCGCTCGTGCATCCGTGTTCTGCTCCATCTCTTGCGTGATCACTCGACCACCCACGTGCACCTTGTTCCATCCGTTGGCCAAACGCCAACGCGTCCCAGTCGACGCTCATGACTCGTTCGTCCGTCGTGTCCCCGTGTGTGGCCTGTTCGGTCCAACCGCGCGCATCACGGGCCGATGCGCGCCATTCGTCCATTGGCCGATCACCCTCGCCTTCTTTGTCGCTGCTTGTCCCCGTTGGCTCGGGCCATGGATCCCAACCCTTCAACCTCACACAATCATCCGCCGGTATCCACCATCCATTTTTAACCCATCGCAAACCACGCCTTTTAGCCTCCTTCCTTTGTGCTCGTCTTCTCTTCGCACAAGGCTTACACAAACATTGACTTGTTTTTCGAGCCTTTGCCTTACGTTGCCTCTTGGCCGTCCGTTTCCTTACCTTCGACTTCAGCTTTGGGCCACAACCTTGTGGCCAATCTCGTACACATGATGGCCGGAATATAGGACTAGATGGCTCCTCCAACATATTTTCTAGCCAAATATCGAGTCCGTCGCCACCTTCATCCTCCGACTCGCCTGGGTTGATGACCACTTCCGTATCATTCCCCTCCTTTTCGAGACTTTCCTTGTCCTCAAGGATTAAGAAATTCAGCGCACCTTCATCTTTGTGGTCATGAGCATCGATCACCATTGCTTCTCGAGCTTCCATGAGTTGACGCTCGTACTCTTCAATGTTCCTTCGCTCATGAAGCTCATCAAGATATGTTGCTTCCCATGGTGTGAGCTCTCTTTCCAAACCTTCCAACATCTCAAGATCTTCCCAATCCAACTCATCCAATGGTGGGTAAGACATTTATTTTTATTTTATTTTTTTGACTCTAAATAAATTCGAAAATAATAGGGGAAAAATTCGAAAAATCGAACCCCCAACAAGACTCAAATAATAGAACAAAAAAAGAAATTCGGCCCCTCAACAAAAGGTAATAACCGAACAAAAATCAAACAAAGGACTAACAAGATGACACTTTTTTTTTTTTTAATTACTAAATTTCGAAAAATCAAAGGGAAAATTCGAACCAAAAATTCGAACCCCAACAAAAAATAAAGAGAAATTCGGCCCCTCAGCAAAAGGCAAACCGAAACAAAAAAGATACGATAAATAAAAACACGATCAACACCTCTCAATGAAAGCACCAATGATGAAAAGCCGCTGATCGATGTGTTTATCTATACGTTGGGTTGTGAATAATCGCGCACTCAGGGCCTTCGATTATCCACGATAGGTGTATCTAACAGACGCACTATCGGCCTTCTCCTAGACACTGTGACTTTGAGACGCTCTCGGGGCCTTCTCTCAGACACTGTATGTAAACAGCACTGACGGCCTTGTTTATCACACGTTAGAACATAAAGTTCCCCTCAAAATTGGCTCACCAATTCAATACTCAATTTAAGACCTAAAATATGATGAGGTACATGGGGTATTTATAGGTGCAAAATAAATCTAAGCCTAATAGATCTAGATCTCCTATTCTATGCAATAATATAAATCCTAATGCTAGTAAATCTCCTAACATCTTCTACTACTAACAAATAAAAGCAATATGGAAATAAAATCCTAACATAACTAAAATACTAATTGTCTTGACTTGCACTCCAATTAACTTGAAGCACAAGTCATGCGCGCGCCCTAAGACCACCGCCTCGCGTGCGCTGCCCTTTGGCCGCTACTCCTTGTTGCGCGCGGTAACCCGCGCGCTTGACTCCCACGCAGCGTCCATCGTCCCCGACATCCATGCGCGCCGTGTCGCGCGCGTCGCTTCCAGCCCCTCTTATTTCTTCCGCGCATAGGCCTGCGCTCGCGCCTGTCGCCCACTCTCGCGCCGTCGCCGTGCGTCTCTCGCACGTTGCCGCCTACGCTCGGTTCCCCGGCGCCTTTCTCGCGTTCCCTGTGACCATGTGCCTCCGCCGTCGCTCGTGCATCCGTGTTCTGCTCCATCTCTTGCGTGATCACTCGACCACCCACGTGCACCTTGTTCCATCCGTCGGCCAAACGCCAACGCGTCCCAGTCGACGCTCGAGACTCGTTCGTCCGTCGCGTCCCCGTGTGTGGCCTATTCGGTCCAACCGCGCGCATCACGGGCCGATGCGCGCCATTCGTCCATTGGCCGATCACCCTCGCCTTCTTTGTCGCCGCTTGTCCCCGTTGGCTCGGGCCATGGATCCCAACCCTTCAACCTCACACAATCATCCGCCGGTATCCACCATCCAT